TGAAGCTGTTATTGCCGCTGAAGGAGATTTTATCGAATAACTGTATAGCTCATGAGCCACTTACTTTGTTGTAAACATTTCATTAAAATAAAACAAGTTTTCTAAAAAATATACAAATTTTAGTTTTTAAGTCAATATGTCCTCAAATACCTGACGCACCCTGTAACAGAGTGGTGAGCAACAAATCTTGGGAAGATTAACAAGGGTAACGAAAACTACTTGGCAACCTAGAAGGAACGGACGTCAGAGCTACGACCACCTACACGGACCAACCATGATAGTAGAGGAGGCGACGAAGCAGCAAAGGCAGCAGAAACGACCTACCTCAACACAATGACCAGCGTCAGGCAACTCGACGCCGGACAATCGGATCACCGATAACGAACAGTGCGAGAACGAGACAGCGCGACCCGTCGACATGTGTTCCGTCTTCCTAATGTAAGCCCTAATCTAATACAAAAGCGCATACACATACACACACAAGCGAGATACCCAACCGTACGCGTGAATATCTAAAAGTAGTAATATACCGCGTAACCCGTGCAAGAACAGATCCTGTCTGCATAGCGCACCTGTGGCGAATATACTAAGACAGCCAGTCGAACGAGTAGACCAAAATTTCGATAACGTAATAAATAGCATCGCGCAAAGTATACAAGAAGGAATACTTCTTCTCCTTCTTCTTTTTCCCCTTTGTGCCGCTAAGCGTCGGGGCATTTCAGCCACTCATTGAAGTTCCTTCGATCACGCGCCATTCTCCGCACATCGCCAAGGGTCTTACCTCGCTTCCCGATCAGTCCCATGATGTACTCCTCCCATTCAATCCGTGAACTTCCTCGTATTTTTCTTCCTATTGGCCTGGCTTATCACACCTGCTTTACTTTCCTTCCATCCTCTATTCTTACTAGATGACCAACCCAGCCCAGCGCTCTCCTCTCAACGATATCCATTATTAATTCCTGCTTAAGCTCGTCTCTCACCGTGGTGTTTCTGATGTGATCTCTTCGAGTTTTCCCAGCAACTTTCCGCAAATATCTCATCTCCGCTGCAACCAAACGACTTTCCAATTTTTTATGTATTATCTAGCTCTTTGCACCATAAAGGAAGGTTGGCAGGTAAATGGCATGGTAAACCCGAACTTTTGTTTTGCTGGTGATCTCCTTCTTCTCTATGATAGTGTAATTTATGCCATAGTACACTTGATTAGCTTTTCTAATTCTGTTGTTTAGTTCTGCATCTAACTTTCCGTCCTCTCTGAAGATAGTGCCCAGGTACTCAATTTGTTTTACTTGCTCAATATCCTCATTATTCTATTTGATGTGAAGCTGTATCTTTTCCCCTTTGGTGAACTGCATGACCTTGGTCTTACTCCCATTCATTTCCATCCCACGGTCCTGGAAGGCACAAGTCCATTCAGTAAAAGCTTGCTGAAGACCTTCCTCATTCCCAGCCAGAACTAAAATATCATCTGCATAGACCAAAGATTGGACATATATGGGTCTCATGTTCCAGTTGCCAACCTTAATTCTTCTGGTTCTTCTTCTACATTGCTTGATGACTTAGTTCATGAAGATCACAAAGAGAAGAAGGCTCAAGCTATTTCCTTCCTTCACTCCTTTTTCCATTTCAAATTCCCTAGAACATTCTCCAGCTATCCTCACCACCCCTTAGACTCTGTTATACATGCTTTGAATGCGACGTTGGAGAGTTTTGTGACCTTTTCTTCTTCGAGTGCTGCCCAAAGCTGTTCCCTGGGGACGGAGTCAAATGCGGCCTTAAGATCTATGAATACGGCTAGGACATCCTTCCCACGACTAAGCCTTTTGTCTATAACAGTTCTTAATGTGAATATATGGTCGTGTGTTTATCGATTTGGCCGGAATGCGCACTGCTCTTCTTCCAGGTTTTCTTCTATCTCCTGTCTCAGCCTCTTCTCCAACAGTCGAGAGTAGCAGCCACCTTCGCAGCCACACAGGAGAAACAAATAGCTCTATAGTTTACACAGTCCAGAGTGCTGCCCTTCTTAGGGATAGGGATGATTATATTCTCCTCCCAGTCTTTTGGGACCTTCTGAGTATTCCATGCTTGTTGGCATATCCTTGTCATCCACTTTACCACAACCTCTCCTCCGTACTTCATCAGTTCCGGTGAAATTCCATCCAACCACTCGCCTTGCCTATCTTCATTAAATAATGATAGCCTCTCTTACCTCACTCTGCATAATCATTTCCCCATCTTCTAGTTCTTCTTCTTCCACTGCATTATTAGCATTCTCTTGAAGATGCTGATCTGCACGGAACACACCTTCATAATATGTACTCCATGTAGCAAGTATGTCCTGAGGTCTCGTTTGTATCTCCTGGTTGCTGTCTTTGATATTTCTAATTTTCTTTCCCATTTTACCTTGGAGGGATCTTAGTATCTTCCAAAACTTTTTTTGATTGTTTCTGTATTCTGACTCAATTTCCTCGCCAAAGTCCTGCCAGCTCCTTTCTTTAGCCTGCTGTACTTGTCATTTAGCTTCATTGCGTGCTTCAACATAATTTCTCCAGTCCTCTGCCCTTTTTGTTCTCATGTACTCCTTCCACGCTGCCTTTTTCCTACTTACGCCTTCTTTAACCTCCTCATTCCACCATTTTGTTCGTTTCATTCGTGTATTTACAGTAGTTTTCCCACAGACCTCTTCTGCTAATACTTTGAGGATATCCGTCTTAAATTTCCTCCATCACTGTTCTAAGTTCCAGCCTCCCTCGGGTTTCTCACTTTCTGTTTGCTGAAGATTTTTTCTCCAACTTCTTGGCATAGTTCTGTTTTACTTCTTCCTCTCTGAATGCAGAAAGTCTTATTTTCTGGAATCAAAGATGAGGAGGACTAGGTGGAGTCTTGAACCTTGTTTTCATAAGCAGAAGGCGATGCTCCGTGCTCATTTCTGCGATACGAAAGACTCTTACATCCAATGCTGCATATGTCATGTTCTTGGTGTAGCAAAAGTAATCAATACAACTTTTTACTCCCCGGCCTACTGACTCAAAAGTTATTTTATGGATATTGTTATGGCGGAAAAAGGTGTTGCCAATACTCAGCTCATTATTAATACAGGATTCCAGCATTCTTTTGCCATTGTTATTGATGGTGCGTTCTGCTCCATGTTGCCTCATACATCCATGTCCCCAACGCATCCTATTACCAATTTTAGCATTCCATTCCTCCATCACAATAACATGTCAGCTTCTTTCCCTGGATTTGTCTATAGTCTTTTGCAAATGCACATAGAATTGCTCTTTATCTACTTCTTCCATATCTGAATTTGGGGCGTAGACCTGCACCAGCGTAATGCTTTCTTCCAGTTCCACATCCACTGAGATTAGTCTTGAGCTGATAGGTTCCCAGCCTGTCACTTTGTTTTCTACTGCTTCAGACATAATAATGGCTACTCCTTCCTTCGCCCGCACATTCCTGCTGACTCCTGAATATCTCATTACGTGTCTTTTATCCAAATTAATTTGGCCACTACCCTTCCTCTTGGTTTCACTAACTCCAAGTATGGCAAGCTTGTACTTCTCCATTTCTTCAGCTATCTCTACCCCCTTTCCAGTAAGTAATGTCACATTCCAAGTACCAATTCTCATATACCGTTTCGCGCCAAGTTGCATCCGTGATATCCGTCCGGCTACTCTCATTTCTGAATATTAGCTTTCGCTCCACATGGGTTAGTAGCAGTACGGAAGCTAGCATGATAAGGGGCCTGCACTATTGGCTGTCATGCCAGCCCGTTTTCTGTCAGGGTATCCTTTAGCCAAGGTTCCCTTAGCCTTTAGGGTCCCCTCCCTAACTGCAAGGCAGCAGGTTGTGGTTTGCAGTTCCTCTGCCTACTCCGCCGTTGGGGTGTTTACAAAATACCTTCTTCCGCCTTCGCAGTCATTGATTGCCAATCTCTAATGAATTTATGTGCCATTTCCTGCACGAAGGCTTCATTTGGCCTCCAAAGGGAGAACTCCTCCGTCCATAGCCGTTGGTCCCCCTCTGGTTGTCAGGTTTGGTATTAGCGGCCCGATCCTCGGCCAGACAGTCGCAAGTAGTACCGTCTATTGTCACATACGGTAACAGGATGATCCGGACCTGACCGGGACAAGAAGAAATACAAGACGCGCTAACTGTACTTGAAGGTTCAAACGAAGAACAGCCTCCGATACACGTCATAACCGAACGCGAATTTCCGTTCAATGAATTCAATAATAGTGTGTTGCAAGTAACTTCACACGTTAAGCGACAAAGAGACTTGCCGAGTAATTTGATTAATTTGAAATTCTTGGGTACTTTGTGTTTTATTTTCTCGTTTTTGCCTCTCGTTGTTATTTTTGCTTTCGATGGATGGGTCTCCTTGATTTGTTCCACACCTATCTGTGGAGGCGTTATTTGTACTTTATCGCCCCTCGCGACGTTCGAAGTTAGGTGCAGCGTATTCAGCCGGCTTCCCATGCAGTTTCCAGCAGCCCATGCAGCTTCTTCGCGTGTATGTCCTACCTTTTACAGTGTGTGCAATATTTTCCCATCGCGTTTACGCGAGGGCGTTCACTTAATGTTGGTAGGGTAAATCGGTTAGCGTAACGGTTGGTACGACAATCCTTCCCTAGATGTCCTATTTGGCCGCATTTATGACACGTCGAGTGTCTAGTGTTTTCTCGGGCCCGCGGATGTGTCGTCGATCGATTATTATATGAGAGTGCAGTTTCCCGATTATTATAGTAATTCGTTAGTCCTTTCACCTTTTCTTTCTTCATAGATCCGGCGATTGCTTCTGCCAGTGTAGCGGGAGTTCGGTATCGTAATATGGTTTGCAGCTGATCATTTTGCCCGAGTTGATAATTTATTAGCGTTTGAGGTATTATGTATTCGTGTATGGTTCTTTTTTCTGTCGGGGTGTAGAATGCACCTTCAGTGGCTGACTCTAACAATACTGCTGCTAGTCTATCAACTGTCTTTCCGTAGTCTCGCGCGACTTCTCCGGG